TACACTGAGCAGAACATAGACCAGAACAAGCATTCTTTGCTGGCTATAAATCATGAGTGACACTAAGGTATTGCTATTAGCAGCAGAAAAATGCTTTCCTCCCACAAGCTCATTCAGCCCCATATACATACAACACTTCGGCAAAGGGTGCTGGGGTGTCTGGGTAGAAAATTAAATAGAGGTTGTGTTGTCTGAAGATAAATTGGTACCTCCCTTGGCGTGTGTGAGTGACTTTGTCTTTTTCTGATTTGTCTTTTAACTCACAAAACACTGAGACTAGAGATAACGATGAGCTTTAAAAATCTAGCCTTCTTCCCCTCCCAGGCTCTCCTGAACAAATCTCTTCTCTGAAATGAGCTCAAAGAGAAGATAAATGTTCTGCCAGTAATATGCAATATTATTTTTGGCACTTGAAGAATCTCAAGCTAGATAAAGGAAAACTGAAAGGAAGACAAAGCTCTGTTTTTTCAAATGCAAGGGACCAAATTCTGCTCGCCCGTATGAACCCAGAATCCTTTCTTTTTTTCTGGATTATTGCAGTAATTCCTGATTTTCACCAGGTTAGCTGATCCTAAGGCCTTATTTAAAATCCAGCACATTCAGAGACCCTGGTGAAATCACAGAATAGCAGAGCCGAAAGACAAATGCATGCAAAGAAAGCGCCAACTCCACAGCTCCTGCCCAAACAAAGGCTAATTTGGTTTCAGACGTTGTTAGCTGTAACGACGATAAGATTAACACCTGATATCAAGGGAAACGCTGACCTCCTTCAGCAGAATCGCACGCCAGCCCCTCTGGCATGAGCGTACGCTAAGGGAACTGCTTCTTTCCTGGTCTAGTATGTATTTCCCCACAGAGCCTTTGTGAAAAGCTGAGGGCAATGTTTCTGCCGATACATTTGCGGGCGTATTGAATAAAACATGTGCCATTTGACATTGTTCGCTTGGGCTGCCATGGGCAATGGGAGAGGGTACATGTTACTGCAGGGCAGAGGGTCACGAGGGGATGGATCTGGCCTTTATAGGAGCAGGAGGAAGCACGGGCATACGCAGGAGCACATCATGTCTTTGATTCTAACAGAGCCCTGACCAAAGGACCCAGCTCACCCTGCGTTGATCTAAATGCCGGCTGTATATATTGCCTTAAGGCAAGGAAAAGTAAAAAGCCCAAACCTTTGCTCTCTTTACGCGCATTAGCTTGTTACAGATGTATATGCTTTGGAAATCAAATGGGAAGGGATTTTCAGAGCAAAGTAAGTGTTCTAGAGGCAAAACTTCTATTGCTCAAAGAGCTTCCTGTGTCCAAAGCACAGCCTTTGCTCTGCAAATTTCAATGTGCTTTGTCAAGCCTGGAAGTTTGATAAGAGAGTCCGGGACTCCTGAGTGCTTTAAGGCAGCCTGTAACAGGGAGCAGCAGTAACTGATGCTGCTGGTTTTAAATGATGACGTTGCCCTGTCTCAGCTATTCTTGTATTTGTCTGGCATGCAAGTAATGGTTACGTGGGGTAACTAGAGGCATCCCCACCTGTGGTGTCTATTCAAAGTTAATCATCTGCTAGGGGTCACTTGGCAATTAAGAACTGTTCAGTGGTACTTTTTATAATACAAGATTTGTATGATGTGTCCAGAAAGGGTGTCCTAGCATGAGAAATAGGGTGTTTCTCGGGGAATTCATAACCTAAAAGCTGTGAAATATCCTCAGGTCAGTTCAGTGAAGCAGCATTTTGCGAGGGATGTCAGCAAGACCAGGGAGGAGCCCTAGGGGAAATTTGTTTGGTCACCAGGAACAATACTGTCTTCCAGACAAGCTTTGATGAAACACTTGTTCATTTTCATTTTTGTCACCATGTTTCTAACTGTAATGAAATACCTTACCCCTATCAGCTGCAGTGCCATTGGCATGAGTCATCCCATCCCACGTCAGTAACGCCAGGGCCAGCTCTGCCCAGAGGAGCCCGGCTTGGCGGGCATTCACTGATGCACCTTTGGCCAGGAGCAGGCAGTGGGACGATGCCTTTGACTCCAAGAATATCTGTAACTGCTAAGGGATCTGCCCTTGACACCAGCAGAGCAGGGTTGTGCCCTGACTGAGCTCTAAATAGCTCAAAAACTTAAAACACTTCTGGTCTTTGGTTTCACAGAACTGATCATGGCAGTAAGGCCATCTTTAGCAGAGTGTTAATATTTGGGGAACCTTCATTCCAACAGATTTCTATTTTATGGAATTCCTGTCTTCTATAACATCATGACAGTCTGTAACATACTATTTATTTGCCCAAATTAAGCTTCAGTAAGAAGCTTTGCTTCCTTGCTCTCCACCTTCTCTTGTTCTGTTTGGCAGTGGACAGCAAGGCCACCTTCCCTCAATAGAGGCATCATGATTTTCCATGGGGACATGTATTCACAACCGAGAGCTGATGTCCCTGCTTGCAATGGGTGCAGAAGGTTGTAACTTTTTCCAGTGGCAAGGAAAAAGCAGCAAGCTTGCAAGCAGAAATCCATCAGTAAAACTGCATGAGTGTATTAAACAAAGCAAACAGAATTCTGCTGTTATACTTCAAGTAAATAGTTTCTCCATCTCAGTTCGCTCCAGCATAAAAATCCCTCTGCCTTATAAATGCCATTGCCAGTATTTATTTGTGAAGAGCTGGGATCTATTTATTTATTTATCCATATTTAGCTTAAAAGTTTGGGCTCAAAATTAAACAGGCATTCATAATGTCATTATCTGCCTTGCTCTGCAGTCAGATACCATGTGTGGTGTCACAGGACAAAACCTTTGGCAAGGCCCATAGAAGAGCAATTTAGCTCCTCATCCATCTCAGCTGGCAGCGTGATTGGCTTCCAAGCTTGCATTGCTGAATGTGTTATTTTACTCTGACATGTATTATTGAGCGTTAAATCACTTTCTGAAGTGTTTATTGGTAATAGTTGAATTCTTTCCACTCACTTAAGCTGCTTTTGAAACATAAACATTTCCTTATATCTTGGAGTTTGATGGAAACATGGGGAGGGTTCCTTGGGAGGATGGATTGTAGAAATGACCAGTTCATTAGGTAGGGACAGAATTTGCCAGTGCTGTGGAGAAGAATATCCTCCCTCTCCCATCAGGATGAAGCAGCGAACTCCCACCATCACGCCATGGCACTTCACATCACATGGGGAAGGTTTACTTGGTGCTTGGTTCTCCCATCATGTCTTGGCCTGTCAGGAAGCAGATGACCCTTTTACTGGAACATCGATGACTTCCTGACAGGATCTTTCAGAGCCTGAAGCTCCCTGAAAAGAAAACCAGGCTGTGATCTGCAGAATCAGGCGCTGGGGAGGGTATTAGACATCAGCATGCCCATGCCTCCAAGTGTGGAGCGTGGTCTGCAGCCCCTGCCTGGCAGTGATGTCTCTTGGGAAGGAACCAGAGACCACTTTCTTGTACCTATTTAGGAAAATGAAGCAGGGCATCGGAGAAAGAAATAAACAGAGAGATTAAAATCTAGTATGGCAGCTGGAAGCTGAGCTGGAGAACAAGGGCCAGAGGCAGGTCAAGCTAGGGAGGAGGCAGGAGGGCTGGATTTTCAAATAAGTCTTTGACAATTCATCTCTTGAGGACTCCAGATGTGACAGACCAGCAGCCTGATCCAGGCTGGCGTACTCAGTACTGCAAGTCCTCTTACCCCTTGTCCTTGCTCCAGTGAAGACCTACAAATCAATTTTTTCTTTCCTTTTTATCTTTAATGAGAAGGTCTGTTGAGTCTCTTTCCTGCATCTGGGAGTTACTTTCCAATCTGATGAACACTGACTTTTAGAGACGACACCAATGACGAGCTGCTGAGATCACAGTAGCAATCAAGCCTCCTTTGATGACAGAGCTAAAAATATGCTCCCCAGCTGACACAGCCTTAGAGAGGAGAACATATAGTTTGGTATGAAAGAATACATCTTCCTTTGTCTCCACGTCTTCTTCTGCCAGAGAATGCCACATCTGTGATAACCACACAAAGCAGGTTACAGCTGTCTTCCGACCTGAAGCACCCATGTACAGACCCATGCTACCTCCAGCCCCAGAAAGAGTAAAGCTTTGAAACCCTCTGAGTGCCTTGGAGAATGATGTTGTTTGTGGTTTTGCCTCTCTGGTCATGCTGGCACCCGTCCAAGTTACTGCGTGGCAAGAGCCACATCGTAGGGTCTGGAGGCAATCACCTTTGCCAGGCCCCTAGGTTCAGTTTCAGTCCTCTTCATCAGCTGCCCCAGCTCTTTCCTTTCCTATCTGCTTCTCCGCCTGCTCTTCTCCTTGCTAAATCCGGGGCACTGGCTCACAAGCTCCCTGGCTAATGAGATGTCCCCAAAGCCTTGCTTTGGCACTTGTAAAGGAAACTGTGGCAAGTAGTGTCACTGCCACCTCCTGGGCTTTCTGAGGATGAGAGCTCAGTTGCAAATGCAGATTCATGCAAATGCTTTGCAAAAGATCATGAATTGCCCAGCTGCAACCTGCACTAGCCCGCTCCCTTCCCAGGCCTGCAGAGTGATGGCACTAACCAGCCCGGGTTTGCAGAAGAGAGTAGGGCTCCTTCCCCTTGGAGGCATTAGGTAAAAATGGATCATTAAGACTTTTGAGTAGGAGACGTACAGATGAACAAGCATACACAATAAGGGTTCTGCATTTGTAATGTGCAGTATGTCAGGGGGTGAAAGGTTGAGCAACCCACTTCGGCAAATGGAAATAGCAAAAAGGGCGTATTTTGCTGGCTAAATGAAAGCCTCCGCGGTGTGTGGTTTTTCATGCTTCTGCATGTGCAACTGGAAGGCAGAGAAAGGAAAAATTCATTTGTTTGATCAGACAGAAATACACCAGATTTATTGTTTTGAGAGATACAGGTGAGAATTCCTACATGGCTGCAGTAGCTGTAATGTTTTGGCAACACAATGTCCCGCCAAAAAAAGGCGTTCACCCAAAAATGTCTCTGAGCTCAGTCAGCCTCAGTCCTGGAGGTGAATGTCCCATCCCTAAACCTCTGTGGGCAGTGGTCCATTGCCAGGAGTCTGTTTGATGCTCCCATTTAGGGTGTTGGCCCTGAAGATGTACGACCTCCCTCTAACTGAGCCTTCGGTGTGGATGCTTTCTGGCTTGTTCTGGCAACGGAAGAACATAAGGAAACCATTCCGGTAGTTCTTGTTCATCCATCCGTAGAGCAGGGGGTTGACAAATGTAGAGCACATGGCTCCGACATGGAAGACAGTGTACAGGAGTTTGTAGTCATGGAAGATAAGAACCAGATCAAGATCAATCGCAAGCTGGAAAATGTGGAAGGGGAGCCAACAGACTGCAAATACCACAACTACCATCACTAGCATTTTGGTTGTCTTCCTCCTCCGGCACTGGTTTTCATTCCTAGAAGTGGGACTGACATGGTTTCTCAGCTTGAACCAGATCCTGGTATAGGCATAACAAATAATTGCAAGAGGAAAAACATACTGCAGGAGGAGCATGGACAGGCTGTAGATAGTGGCATCTCTGTTATTACCAGAAGGCCATTTCTCTGAGCAGACAGCCATTTTGAGGTTGATCGATGGGATTTCCTCATACCGATACTCTCTGAAGATGGCCAGAGGACCAGCTAGGACAGCTGCTGCTAGCCACATGACAGCTATGATGGTGAAGCTGAGCCTCTTGGAAATCCTGCTGTCCAGGTGGAAAACAATACACCGGTACCTATCCAGGGCAATCACAGTTAGGGTGAGAGTGGACACATGGACACTCAGAGCTTGAGCATAAGGGACCAGATGACAAAGAACAGCTCCAAACTTCCACTCGTCCAGCAGCGTGTACACTAAGGTGAAAGGCAGACAGAGCGTGTCCACCATCAGATCTGCCAGGGCCAGGTTAGCTATGAAGAAGTTGGTGACGGTCCTCATGGTCTTGTACTTCACTATGATGTAGATGACCAAGGAGTTGCCGATGAACCCCAGCAGAATGATGAGGGAGTAGGCAGCAATCAGAACGACCTGGACCCCCAGGATCTTGGTGCTGTCCATCATAACACTGTGGGACCCAGAGAGATCCTGGCTAGGAGTGACAAAGTCCTTGGCGTGCCAGCCGTGTGGCAATTTCTCCTCTAATGGTGTCTTCACCACAGTGAGGGTGCTGTTGGCTCCCTCCAGCGGTCCCATGCCTGGCCTGAGCCCTTCCGTCAGGAGGAGGAGGAGATCTGGAACACAGACATAAGCAGAAGTGAGACCATGAGAGACAGCAGAGCATCTGCAAGAACCGAGACTCAAGCGGCATGTCCCATACAGCATTTCGGGCTAAACAGCAGCAGCAGTGACATTCTCCTTCCTTCTCCCTTACCCCCCATCCTTCCTCACACTGAATGGCCTTCCAGGTCTCTTCTGCCTCCTGTCAGAGCATATGATCAGTTGAACACCAATTCCTCAAGGAAAGGTCAGGGAAAAATGCAACTTTTCACACAACTTTCTGAGATTCTGTTTATTTTAATTGAACAGGGAAAAAACCCTCAACCAGCCAGGGCTAGACTGGTAGGTCCTGAAAAGATCTCCTGCTCCTGGAGCCCCTTTGCACAATGCCTCTCCTGCTTCTTCAGCCTAGGCTTTGCAAAATAGGGAAGCCGCTTCAAACAAGCCAAATATTTGGGACCTTTTGGGGCTGACAGAAGAAATGGATGATGGTTTCAGGCATCTTTGATGAGATTTGCTTGCTTACAAAAATGCCCTGAGTCCTAACTCCCTAAGAACTAGGAAACAAGACATTCTCCAATTCAAGATGTTCTTCTCCACGTCTCCATCACAATTCATTTCCAGAATGTGCACCAGATTTTTGCAGTTTCTTATTTCTCACCTCTCCGGGTGAAAATATCTGTCACCCTGTCTCTGCATGAGTCTCCACCACTGCTCCTGTTCATGATGCTACCACCCAACTCAACCCAGTGTGACCAGTAGCCCCTGCTCCCAACCCCTGGTAACATGGTTAGCATAACTAACGCCATTTTATGGGGCAAGCAGCCATTCTCTGTGACCAAGCAGGTCACGTATTTGTTCCCTTTCCCTCATTATCAGGCCCTGAAGGTCCTGTGAACCAAGTAGACAAACCAAACAGTTTTCTTCTCCCCCTTCCTGCCAGACTCAATATTCCTGGGCACCAGACCGATTCCTCCCTTCCTTGCCGGCCTTGAAGGTCCCAGGCACCTGGCCAGCCTGGTGTTGTTGATGACCCCGTCACACAACAGGGAAGCATAACAGCACACTGGGCACCGGCCATAACATCAAGCCAGCTACACGTCCTAAGTGGGAACAGCTGGACAGTGAGACCTGTGACCCCCCATGGCCAGGATCACCCCCACCATTCTCTGCTTCCTCCAAGGACTGAGCGACCCCTCTTCTTTCATATGATTTTCAAGTCTAGATTATGATTGTTACATTGATACACCAAACCACGTATTAGCATTTGACCCGATCTGCAGAGGGTCCAGGTGATTAGAAATCATAAGTTGCATGATAAACTCTGTATTACGCTACTTGCGGATCGTACTGCATTGATTCTGCTTGTAGAAATCCTGTGCTGTTCCAATCATAAATTCTGTGCTATACTAATCAAAATATCCTGTTAAGGAAAAAAAGCTCTAATTGTAACCACAATTTAGTGCCATCATCATTCTGCCAAGGATCCCTAAAAGAACCTGCCTGTCCTCTCAGTGTCGGTGACACCCAGGCACCCGCCAGCTTTGCCGAGGAGGGAGCTCCTGCTGGGACGTGCATGTGCAGGGGGCAAAGAGCTGAAGCTGTGAACAAGCCTCCCGCAGAGCCGTTGCTGAGCGTCCAGGCACAAAGATGCCCGAGAGCCAAAGCCCCGGCGTCAGCGAGCCTCCTGCCATGTGGTGCTCAAAAGTCTGCGTGAATACGGCTCTGGGAGCAGGGAGCCCGACGGATGAGCCAGAACTGACTCAGCCTGGAACCCCCGGCTGGCGTTTGGTGCCATTGTAACAGCAGAGTGTTGTCACGGCGGGGTTTTCACTCAGTCCAAACACAGCAGGAGAAAAGTCAGCTCTGTTACTGGCTTTTTACTGACTCCGTGTCTCAGCATTGCTGCTGGGGTATGTGAAGAGGGGTGGATGTGGCCCCTCACGTACCTTCTTTCCCCAAGCACCATGCGTGGGGCCCCCATTCCCACCACACACTTGGTCAAAAGTGAGCAAAAGTCATCATTCTGTCCCAACAGGGTGGTCTGCAGAGCACCACGTTTTCTCTGACCTGAAGAGAGAGGGGATGATGCCCTGCCACTGGGGGAAGGAGGCACAGGGCTTAAACGAAGCTGGGGATTAGAGGCAGCCTGCTGGGCACCTTCTTAACCTCCTTGAGGAACAAAGTGCTTGGGGTTTGTACCAGGGGAGATGGGAGCACTGCTGGCTGGGTGCTGGGGGGCTCCCTGCAGGTCCATGCCCCGCAAGCTGAGTGTTTAAGGACAGCCTGTCCTTGGGAAGGGAGAACGCTTTCTGTGCAGAGCACCTGCATTTAAGCTAGTTCCTTAAACAAATAGCATAAAATAATGGTGGCAAGATGGTAAAGGTGGCAGCAATTACATTGCAATGAATAATAAATGGCTGCTTGTTCTTTCATCACTCCTCAGAGCAAGGGCTGTGATTCCCCTAAGCTGCAAACCGGGGCCCCTGCCGAGCCCCAGCGAAAGAGCTGCCTGCGTCCACCACCCCTGCTTGCACACTTGCTTTCTCCTGCCCTCTCCATGACCGTCGGCTTGCCTAACTTGTCTAACTCTGCTGGCTGATTTATGCCAATGATTCCTGTAACTGAAGGTGTTTGGGTCATATACCATGATAACAGAGACTAAGAGGGTAGGAAGGTAGCTTTAAGCAGGAGGGAAAAGTGGGTGGATTTGCTGGGGTGAGGGCTTGCTTAAGGGTGATCTCAAATCTCCACGACACAGCTGCCCTCAGCCCTAGAAAGGTAACCCCAAAGACAAAAGGGCGGCCCCAAATTCTAAGGCAGGATAGTGGAGCTCAAACCCACCCTGCACAGCCGACGTGGTGGGGAACGGAGCAGGGGAGCAGGCAGGGCCCCACCCAGGGGGCACAGCCACAGCCTCTTGGGCAGAGCCTGACCCAACGCAGCAGGAGCCCAGCCCAGAGCCTCCCCCCAGGCTCCCTGCACTGGCCCCAAAGAAAACCTCGCTGCCAGAGGAGTGAGGTCCAGGAAACAGAGCAAGGGCTGGGCACGCTTTCGGTGGCTGTGCTTTCCCTGCTCACTCTCTGTCTGGGTGTTTCTACCTTCCAGATTGTCTGGCATTACTTTATCACGATCACTTGTTATCACCTTTTCTCTGCCTTGCCTGTCCCACTTCTCTTCAGTACCCAAATCTTGGCATGACACCGGTGGACACTCCCTTCCCTTTTTCCCCATCTTGCCCACCAATGGGCTGCCAGTTCCCACGTTCACATCCCAGGCCATTCCCTTTCCCTGGAGACTGGCAGCTGCCCACCATCTGACAGGAGCCAGGAATATCATGGTTATTGGAGCTGTTTCGCTTCCTAACAAAATGGCCTTAATGGAGTTATTATTTGATTTGGTTTGCTTTGTTTTTTTTTTCCAAAGAGGAACTATTAAAAATCAATTAAGGCATTTTAATTAAGAGGCAAAATGGTCATAATAAATGGTCTCACTGCAGGGGCTGCCTGGAGGTCACAGGGATGCTGCTAGGAGTGGACCAAGGTCCGTTCCAGCAAGTAAAGGAAGCGCTGCCATATGTGCAGGCTGCTGCCAGGCGCAGGCTCCCATGCCCAGCGGGCCAGCCAGGCTAGATGGAAAAATCCTTGGAGCTGAGCACCAACTGCTTCTGGGAGAACAAAACAGCAGAGCAGACCAGGAGGAGGCAGAAACACTACCCTAAGCCCTTTCCTCTGTGCTGGGCTGCCATGAAGGGATGCAGAAACAAGGAGTTGCCTGGATCCTGCTCTCACCCTCATCTCCAGCTGAGGGTCAGCCTGAGGCAGGGCTGGGACCTGGGGGTGGCTCCCAAAGGAGGCAGAGCTGTGCACTGTGCCCTGTGCCAGCAGGCTTCAGCCTTTGGGGGAAGGGGGGACAGGAGGGGGAAGCACAGAGGAGCTGCGAAACCTCAGCCCCTCACTGAGCACACCGCTGTCGGTGACTGCGAGGGACAGTGACCACCATGACATCTCCAAAATCCACTCCTACAGAGGGCCTGGACTTGGTGCCCTGGACTCACACGCACCTCTGCTTCCTGGGGACACCCCGGCTCCCTCCATGCCCCTGCTGCAGCCCCGGGCACATGTCCAGCCTGGTCCAGATCTGTCAGGGCACATCCAGGCCTGGCAGTGCCATCTGCAAAGCCTGGCAGGGTTCAGAAAGCGGGGCTGGAGGGGTGGGCAGAGGGCTGGAGGAAACAGAGCTTGCAAATTAAAATTCCTCTTTTTGTCCCAAGCAGAGAGACTGGGGTCACTGCAGCCAGCAGGCAAGCAGCATGGGGGCAAGGGGTGCAGAAAAGAAGGAGGGAAGGACAAAGATTGCTCAGTGTGTGGCCAGAAATTGCAATCCTATCATGGTTATCATGGATCTGAAAGGAGGGAGTGGACGGACTTGGGCCAGCCTCTGCTCCCTGGATAATGACAGCCACAATCTCTTTCTAAAGCAGCACTGGGGCATGAGGGCTGAGGCTGACAGATATTTTCATGGCTTGGCTCACTGATTTATTCCATTCTATGTCCTTCTTCCAAAGCAGCTCAACTCCATGAAACCTCTTCATCTCCAGCAGCCCAGTCTGGAACACTGACTCATCTCCTCCCCAGTCCCAAATCTGGCAGCAGTCGGGTGTCTGTGGCAAAGAGGTCTGAGACCATCCCTCGTCACCAGAACCCTGTTCTCACCCTGGGGCAAGCCACCTTCTACCACATGGCATAGCACTAAAGGGAGGAGAACACGATTAACTGAGGTACGGAGGTTAACCAGCTTGCCAGAGGCCGCACAGCATGTCCACGATGGGGCTGGGAACAGAGCCCAAGTTTGCTAACTCCAGCCTCCTGCGCTCACCACTCTGCATCTCTCAAGTTAAAACCTGAACATAGCTTTCAGGAGCAGCATGAAAATGCAAAATATGAGTGACAGAGGGGAGGGCGTTTTGCCTCCTC